CCACAGCAACCTTTCTATGGATCAGGACAACCTCCTGCAATGAATTCAGCTTGGAATCAGATGGCAAGAGCACCAGTTCCTCCACAGCAGCCATACTATCCTATGGGACAACCAATGAATCCAATGTGGAATCAGATGCAACAAGCGTCATATCCACCACCAAATCCTGCCTACTCTTATCCACCAATGGATGAACCAGCACAAGATCCCAATCCTGCTAGTGCGCCAAAAAAATCATTTTTTTCGATGTTTTCTAAGCGAGCCACGCAAGAACCATACTAAAGTGGAACTATATAGTTTTATCGTATATAAATTTTTAATAAGATGTTTTTTAAACTTGTTTTTTTAAGTTACTTTTTACACATACAACTAGAAAAAATAAAAACATTCTTTCAAATTAATTCATAATATTGATTTTAAATATAATAGCTGAAATAATACAAATACACAGATCATTCATATGTTTCGTACTAATCTATTACTATATTTCTAATTGATAGAAACTTGATTATACTGATTTATTTATTTATTTTTACGATAGATAATATCTTATTAATATAGTAAAATGAACAAAAATAGAAATCTTCATTCATATATGATAAGCATTAGATAAATAAAAGAAGATAATTATTAGTCAGAGAGTACAAGATAAAATAACTTGTTTTTTTGAAAATTAGTAATATCTTCCTTACCTAAGTAGAGCTTTTCTTATCATTAAAAAAAAAGTCTTACCTATACATCGTCATCTTGTTGAGTAATATCAAGATAAACTCTTCAATAAATACAACAGACAAGTCATTTCTTTTCTTCATCGACAAAAATGCAAATTCTCAATATTGTACTTATCGTTTGTTTCTCTAGTGTAATACTAGGAGATAATTCATGTATATTCAAACATCCAACTCAAGGTTTTATTAATTTAACATCAATTGGTTTACGAAATGGTCAACCTCGTTTTCCAGATTATCAACCATCTTCGAGTCTTGCCTATACATATTCATTCAATCCATGTTTTCCTTTTATGGAAAATGGCTGTCAAAATGCAGCTGTTTGCCAAAGTATATACAACTATATTTTTTCTTATATTACTGAATCATCTAATGTATGAATTTTTTTATTTAGCAACAACCGATCAACAATATTCATTTACATTAGCTACACAGAATTCAGCTAAATGGACTGTAGATTCATATATGAAACCTACTCTTACATATACATATGGTTCAAAAACAGTTTCCATATCAATGATTTGTTCAGACAATGTCATAGATGAGTTCGAAGCACTTGGCGAAGATTATGTCAATCATTATTCAATGCGTTTATGGTCTCGTTGTGCTTGTTGGAATGGATGTAGTAATTCTACACCGTCAACTACTAGAACTACATCACGTATGTTCTGTTGTATTTTATATTCAAATTATTCAACTAAAATTTCTTTCTTTTAATCATATAGGACCATCACCAGCTACAACAACACACACGATATATTCCAGTTCTTGTAGATATAAGGATTCCCGATATGGTACCATTGATTTATCATCAATTGGCAATGTAAATGGTGACGCAACATTCAATGATGTATATTCAAATAATTATTTTTGGTCTTATAATCCATGTTATACTTTTTCGGAAGAGAATTGTATTAATGTAGCTGGATGTCAAAGTAAAGAGAATTTACATTAAATTAATTTTTTTAAAATTCTTTTATTTTTAGTTGATAGAACTCGTCAGATTAGCTATGATATTGGATTACAAAAAAACGCTTATTGGATAAATATGAATAAGACAAATAATTTAATTCCATCGATTGTTTATCCATCATCATCTATGAATCGGCGTTTAACTGTTCAACTTATATGTGATCGATCATTATCATCTGATCATCTTCAAGTACTTGGTGAAACTTCTCCTGGAGAATATGTTATGCAATTGACAAGTCGATGTGCATGTTGGGATGGATGTATCGAACCAAAACCATTTCCGAATAATTGGGATTTTTATATGATTATGGGTATTGCGGCAGGTGTTGTCTTTTTAATATTTCTAATAATGATGACATGCTTATTTTGTTCAAAACCTAAACAACGCTATCCAGTTATGATTGTTAATGAAAAAACACCAATCTTCAAAAGTGCATACTAACTTTTACAAGAAAAAACACATTCACGTCTTTTTTTTGTGACTAATATAACTCTTTTTTTCAATAAATATCAGCATATGTAGTGAAAAGATTTTCTTAATACTAAAAAAATATATAATGCATGACTCATCGAGAAGTATGATGGTTCAAAGTTGACCGCACTTAATATTGATTGCATAAACTGCCTATTTAAACTCTTTTTTAGCCGAGTTGAAATTGTTGTCTTATCTTGTACAAGTCTATTCACATTCAAATCTCGATAGAAACTGAATCTGACGTTAAATCCAGATGATTGGATTCAATAATAACTATAAAATTACATTCATATTTGAGAAGACACTCAATGCTATACAAAAGAATAACCCCCAATTAGAATGCACAAATGTTATTTAGATTTATGAGGAGAATCCTGTTAATGGTTAGATAATTTTTGATGAATTCCTACGTAACTGTATCCAATTTGTCATACTGATTCTAAAAATTGTAAGCCTAGTAATTCTTAGGAATTTCCTAATTCATATATCACATCTATTGTCTCATTTGATAATCATAATTACATCCTGCCACCTAAAGTTTATCATGAATAGTTACAAACTCATGCTTTCAACTGTATTGAAAGAACTTTCGAATTCTTCAAAATATGATCAATAATAAAAAGAAGACAAATCTACCAAGCTCTGATAAACCATTTCAACTGTTATGTACAAGTATACATCATCATTCGTATGAAAAAATCATTGAAGCATATCGGACTGATATTGTAAATACATTTTTGTACTGTCATCAATCATACAAGACAATAAACGCATGTTTTAGGGTAAATTTAGATAATGTATGTATTTGGCGACAAAAGAAAAAAAAATAAAGTATAGTAAAGAGCTAGGATAAGTGATGAGATGAACAGATACACAATAAAGACCACATGTTTAATTGACATGTAAAATAAAAACTAAGAATTATAGTCAGAAGGGCATTTCATGAATAAAGCGAAAAAGCCGAAAAAGAGAACTAGATAAGTAATTCGTAGTATTTATTTGTCTTTTGATGTTTCACTACCACTTGATGCAATAGCAAGTTTTACCTAAAAATTATAATAAAATTCTGTATAAATTCATGAATACAATATTATCGACGTACTTGTAATTTTCGATGTTCTTCATTAAGTTTATCGTAATCTTTAATTGAATTGTCATATTGTTCACGTAATGAATCAATATCTTCACGTGCTTTCATTACCTCTATTAAATATATACACATTAAAAATTCTGAATTTTTATATTGTCGTTTAACTTACCTTGTTTAAATTTTTCAATTTCTGCATCATGTTTTTTTGCATCAATAAATCGTCCTGCTTCATCAGTTGATCCTTCAAGTTCTTTTGGATCAATTGTCTAAATACAAGCATATGTATATTATTAATTTTTGTTTAATTAAATTTTACTTTTGCATCTTTGGTCATAAGTCCTTCTAAATGACGATGTGCACCTTCAGCTTGTTTACGTGCTGCAGATGAATCTGCCATATTACGAGCACATTCTGATAGAAGATGAATTAAACGTTTGATAACACTAAAGAAAATAGAATGCATTACAGAAATCTAAGAATTTCTATTTACTACTTACAACCAAAGAAAAAGAGCGAAACCAGCAATATAGAAATTTCGTTGTGAACGAAATTGTTTCATATGTGCATGAGCTTCAGCATGTGGTGTGTTTAAATCTTTAACTTCGAAACCCGAATATTTACGAAGCTCACGAATTGAGTCTATACATATAGAGAAGAATAAAAATATATGATGAAATCAAAGATTTTTACCGAGAAAAAGTAATGTAAAAATACATATAATAAAATTAAAATAATATTTAGCACCAGCTGTAAATGCTTTTGCAATCCTTGATTTAAAGAATTTTTGCCAACTAAAATTAAATTTTAATTTTAATTAAATGAAATCTATATATATATGATTAGCTTACATGACTGGTGAGATAAATGGTAAGAGTAAAATAAAGACAACGACTAATTCACAATAGAGAAATGTCGCTAGAAAAGTCCATTGAAAACTCATAGTTATAACTTTTCTAAATGCTAGAAGTATAAATTATGTTAAATTACAAATAACCAAAAATATATGATGAGTAGTCCGAATGAATAATAATAGTCGAGCTGACAGCTATCATATAATAAACACGTATATGATTCAATGCTCTGTTGTTCACAATTGATTGCAGCTGTTAAATATTACACAAATAAAATTCGATATAATATTCAAAAAATTATTAAACAATTTTTTTCGATTAAATATTTTCAATTTATTTGAAAACTTTATAAAATCATTCTTTCATTATGATTGGCTAATAATTTAACCAGTAGAATGTTTCTGTTAAACATACGTAAGTAAAATATCTAATTGCAGGAGAAAACGAAAATTTCAGCAATTATTTCATCAGATAACTATCGACAATGATAGATTTCAATCTTTGACTACAATACATATAGTACCCATGTCATCAAAATCGGGGGGAAAATCGAAGGTTTAATCGCGATTTAGCATCCGATCAATTGTGAGATCTATCGCGTTAAAATCGCCAAAATTAAGGACTTTTTGTCGAAAAGTCTTCATTCGTAATGGTTCCGACAAAATAAGCATTTCTTACTGGCGATATAATCGTCAATATTTTGAAAAATCACGATTCATCGCCCAGATCTTAGCGATTTTGAAGACATGAGTGCTGTAAATTACTCAACAAGGAATATGTCAATTATTTTATACTGATTTACTTCATCTATTCTATTCTACCAGCGTTTTTAGATTAATATAAATTCCAGATATTCAATATGACTTCTGATCTTCCTCGTGCTAGTGTTCAAGATGTTTTGAATTGTTCTTTTACAGTTTGGTATCCATTATTTGAACGATATTCTATTAAAAGGTAATCGAAAAGAAAAATCTTTATTATAATAAATGATTATATATTAATTCAGTGTTATGCTTAATTTAACGGATGATATTCTAGAATATCTTCGTTCTGATGATTTTTATCTTCCTACAAGGTATAATTTTTTGTTTTTTTATCCTTATGTTATTTTCAATGACTCATATTTTAGTGCAAATGAAGCAATGGATGAAATGCGTCGTGTTAATGCGAATCCATCATCTGATGATGATGATGACGAAGATCATGTGAGTATTATTTCGAATGAAAATTATCACTCTATTTATTGATTTCATTTAAATATAGTGGTCTGATGAAGATACAGATACAACAAAAAATGTTGAATATAAGATATCATTTTAGAAAAGTTGTAATAAAATGAATTATTTTAGATTTCATTTCCAGAATTTGAGCAAAAAATCAAAGATGTATTAGATCAATATGAAGCTGTATTTCCAAAACTAAATTGGAGTAGTCCAAAAGTAGAATATAAATACATATATATTTTTATTATATATGGTTTATTTTAAATAGGATGCTCGATGGATGATAAGTGATAATCGATTAAAATGTACAAATCTAGCAGATATTTTTCTACTTTTAAAAAGTTCCGATTTTATCACACATGATCTTTGTGAACCGTAAGAGAAGAAAAAAAAGATTCTATTGTATTTTTAAATATATTTTCATTGTTTTTTGTAAGATTTAAATTTTGTTATGATGATGATCATAGTTTATTATCAACAATTAAATATGTACTTGTATTAAGAGAATGGTCCGCATTACAACCATCAAAAGAATTTCGATGTTTTGTCAAAAATAATCGAATTATTGGTATTAGTCAACGTGATAGTGAAAATTATTATGAATTTATTGGATCATCAGCTGATCAGATTCGTGATAATATAATAGAATTTTTTAATAGAAATATACAAAATAAATTTCCATCAACTGATTTTGTTATTGATATTTATCGTAAAAACTCAGTCAGTATCATTTTATTTTCTTCTTCAAATAATAGATTTATGAAATATTCTTTTTTGAATAGAATAAATTATATATTCTTGATTTTAATCCATGGGGTCCGATGACTGATAGTTTACTTTTTCATTGGCCTGAATTGTTAAATTTATCTACAGAAGTAATTGATTGTATGCTATTGTTATGTATTAATATTAATTTTCATTGTAGAATAATAATGAAAAACCAGAATTTCGTTATGTAAATTCACAAAATGGTATTAAACCAAATAGTTATACACAATATGCAATGCCAAAAGATATTGCTGATATATCTCGTGAACGTGATCTTAATAAACTCGCTGATGTTTTAGCGGTAAGAAGATTATAAAAAAGTAAAGAAATGAAATATTCGACTATTTTTTTGTTCGTAGAGTCAAATACAAATACAAAATAATGATGTCGATAGTGACAATGAAAGGAATAGTTAATGGTTTTATGTTTTCTACGAAACTGTTTATTTTGTCAAATTTTGTTATATTTTATTATAAAAAAATTACTTATTCGAAAAAAAAGACTAATCATTTATTTTCAGTGCTGTTTACTAAAAATTTTTGTGATCTCTTCCTATACAGTGACGGATTTAGGGGGGGGCAATGGGGGCGATCGCTCCTCCCTTCCAATTTTTTTTTGAATTTTTACAGCAAAAATGAACGAAAAAATAGGTTCACACTGCTTCAGTTAGACTCAAAAAATAGCTTTTAACCAAAATCGCCCCCACTCTCCCCAGGTATTGCCCCTCCATACTTAAAAAAAAAAGTCGCTCCCCCCTTCCAAAATCCTAGATCCGCCACTGTTTCTATATATGAGTTTTTAGACATTATAGAAGCCAGAACGTTTCTTTGAGACATAGAACAGTGAGTATTGAACATATCTAGCAGTAAGAAATATTTTGAGATGTATGTATCTATCTACAATTTATATTTTTAAAAGGCTATTGTTTACTATGGGAAGAAATAATATCTAATGAATAGTTCTTATGGCTAGGAATAGAATCTAGGACGTATGAGTGAACAATGCGGAGAAAAAATTTGCTTTAATTAATATATCAAGATAAATTATTTACTTCAGATATGTCAAAAAGATTTTTTGAAACTGCTGCACATAGTGATTTTTATTCTCAATGTCGACCCACATATCCTGTTGAGATGATGAATAAAATTATTAATTATTTATCACTCAAAGTATGATTTACTCACATTAACTATTCATTAATTAAGATATTTTTCTAATAGTATACTATAAACGATGATGATTTAGCTATTGATATTGGTTGTGGAACTGGTCAGAGTACTGTTTTACTTGCTCCATATTTTCAACGAATTATCGGTATTAAAATTAACATTAATATCTCATCTTTATAATCATTTTCATTTCTAGGATATGATGTGAGCGAACAGCAAATAAATAAAGCAAATGAAACTAATACACATTCGAATATTAATTATAAGTACTTATATAAATTTATCTTATAAGATCTTATAATTAATTTTTTCATAGAGTTAGTGTTGGTAATGATATTCCTCATGAGAATTCATCATTAGCCTTAATTATATCCGGTCATGCAGCACATTGGTTTGATCTTCCATATTTTTATAATGAAGTTAAACGAACTTTAAAAATCAATGGTGTTCTAGTTTTATTTGGATATGCATTTGTTCAAGTTCATTGCCAACAAGCAGAAAAACTTAATGAAATTTTATACAATGTAAATTATATATTAAATTATTGTTTTTATTTTATTTTTTTTTCTATTTCTATTTCATAATTAGTTCTATCATCATACACTTGATGGATATGTTCAAAAAGAAAGTAAAGAAGTTTACTTTGGTCGTTACCGTGATGAAAAATATCATATTCCACTTTCATCAACTGATTTTACTCGGTAATAAATGTGGAAACTTCGGATTTTATCCGAGAGTTATGTATACTGCAAAAAGTGTATATGGAAATCATAGGGAAATATCAGTATTTTTGCAATAACTCAGGAATGGCTTGACCGAGATCCTGATGAGATTAAACTGCACAAAATTTCATGACAATCGGCTTAGCCTTTCAGGAGTTATCGTGTAAACGGCCGGACGGACACACTGACCGATTCTAGTAGTGTACTCACTTTTTGAGTACACAAGAAAAATAATTAAAAGAAATCAAAATTTTTATTTTTTTATAAACAAAAAAGGGATGAAAGTGTTGCAATTAAATGCAAATGGTCAATTCGAAGATTATTAGGTTATATGGTATCAATGTCTGGTTTTCAACTTTTTTTTCAACAACATCCAGAAAGTACAATTTTAGATGATCTTCAATCAGAGTAAATAAATCAATAATTTTGTACAATAAAATTTATTTAATTTTTATTTTAGAATATTTAAATGTCTCAATGTAGACAATGACGAACATGAACTTGATCTTTCATTTGATATATTTTTATTAATGAATCGAAAAAGTGAATAAAAGAAAATAATAGATTTGCTATTGTTCTAGATAATAATGACAGACGAAATGGATCCTACACGTTGTCAGTATCTATGTCCACGAAAACGACGACAATGTAAAATGGTACCATCAACATCTTTATCTACACATTGTATGGAACATTTACTACATGATCCAAATTTAGACGAGGTAAAAAAAATTATTCATCACTTTTGATTTATTCAGATAGGGAACTAAAAAATATGATGCATTCACTTAAATAGAATCACTCTAATGTTCTAATTATATAAATTTTGAATTCTATTACATTTAGGCAACTAAATTAACTTTACGGATGCCATGTCCATTCAATCCACGACATTCGATCGCACCATATGATTTAAAACGACATTTACGTAAATGTAGTCAACGTCCTATTATTCTTGGTCCATTTCATCAACATAATTGTAATTCGGGACCTGAATGTGATAATCATGATGATTATCCAACAGTTCTACAAGATATAAATGAAGATGAACTTCGAAATTTTATTACTCGTATGGAAACTCTTCATGATAATTTTGTTAAAGGACCAGTTGAAAATAATAAAACAACTCCTGATTGTTATTTACCACATATAAATATCGAAGAACTTGGTAATCGTTCACGTAAACATTTAGAACAAATTGGATCAATTATAGCTCAATTAGTACAATTAGATCTTTTACAATCACATACATGTTTTCTTGAAATGGGTGCTGGACGTGGCCAATTATCTCATGAACTTCATGCTTGTGTAAAAGATGATTCAACAATTCATTTTGCACTTATTGAACGTGATCATCAACGTTATCGTTTTGATGCTCATCATAAACCTGAACATTCAGGTCCATCATTTGGACGTTATCGACTTGATATTCGTGATCTTTATCTACCTGATTTACCAATTCCAAAAGATTCTCAAACACATATAGTTCTTATAAGTAAACATTTATGTGGCGGTGCAACTGACCTTGCTCTACGTTGTGCAGTTGATGCTCAACAACATACTCATAATATTCGAGCAATTATTATCGCTTTATGTTGCCATCATCGTCTATTATGGAATGAATATGTTGGAAAAGATTTTTTTCGTCGTCTTAATTTAACACCAAAAGATTTCTGTTTAATACGAACATTAACAGCATGGGGTACAGATGAAAATCGTCATAAATTGGTAGAAGAAGGAAAAAGATCAACAATTGGTAAATGAACAATTATTTTCATAGATATATTTTTTTTTTTGTTCAATATTTATTTAGATGGTACTATTTCATTTCAATTAGATACTTCAATACCGACAAGTCGATCAACTTATTCTAAACAACGTTTATTTCCTATTGAACAACAAGAACAAATTGGTTTAAAAGCAAAACGATTATTAGATTGGGGTCGAATTGAATATCTAAATGAGAATGGATTCGATACTCATCTTAAAGTATATGCATCAAAAAATATTACACTCGAAAATATTGCTTTGATAGCTACAGCAAAGTCTTCTTAAATTCTTTTCGATTTTATATAAAAGAGAAACATGGAATTTAGACTTCTTTGTTAATAAAGAAATCTATATAGATTATTTATTTTTCCGATAATCATCATTGTTATTTAATAGATTTTAAAGTTTTTGTCGGTGCGTCAAGAGATAAACTATATTCTTAATATGTATCTCAACAATTAAAATTTGATACGTTAATGAAAGAACATAAAACTGTCATATATATTTTTTGTCCAATGAATATTTCATTCTTACATCTCGGTCAACAACTGGTATAGTTGCAATACGTTCTTTTCATATATGAGGCAACTGTTTCGCCGTTAAAACGTCATCTAATGTTCCGATGAGGCTCATTAAACGAGAACTTTTCTTCTCTTTATATATAAATTTTTTTCTGTCTCTTACTCACAACAATTGACGTGCATCTCAAGAGAACGAATTATATGTCACACCTTATATACATTTAATATATTATTTAGCCTTTTAGAGCTTTCATTTCTCTCTCTCTCTTTCTCTATTTATATACGATGTGTTCACCTTGTTTTATGGTCATCATATACACATATGAACTGCGAATAATTAGAAATCATCACGAAAATAACGATCAATAATGCACAAACAATCTCAATGAAATAAAATCAAAAAAAACGTACAGATTGTTGTGTCACTTGTGTGAACTAAATAGTTTTTATCTAACACTCATAGTCCATTCTAATAGATAAACAAAAAGAAATGATATTGTGCTTTGTTGAGTATTCATATGCACTACTGGAAAAATATATTGTCTATAATAATGGATAAGCACTTCCCTGTGGAGAAAATGAGCTTAAATCGACTAGTATCATCTGATTGATCAAACGGACATGAATGGAAAAGTTTAATAGGGCCATTGAACGGCAACAGCAGTTGAAAAGTGTCGAATCGTCTGCATATGATCAATAATGAATGCATCCTAAAGAGACCAATCGATTGTACATATGGATGAGAAAAACTAATAAAAAGAAAGCAACATAAAGAGAACAACAGCAGGAGATAGCAAACCGATAAAACAAATTATAGTTAAACTAAAAAAAGTTACAAATATTTACATTTGTTTTGTTCATATATATCGTCGATATATGATATAAGAAATCATAATAACTAAATAATACCTTAATTGACTAAGTGATATAATTTATAAGGTTCTGAAACACTTGATTGATCATAACAAACTCATTCAATAGTACAGCTAAAACAACCCGACAACAACAACAACATGATCAAACCGAGATAATTGTCAGTTCCATTGATGACATTAAATTCTCATTAGTTGAAACATTCTCTTAACGATCAAGCGACATATATTTTTATGATTCAATAGCACAAGAAATAGGTGTCAAAATGGAACAACTTAAAAAAAATCGTCTTGATTTTACATAGATGACATTTTTGTAGATAAATTCTCTGATCTTTACATACTCGTGTAATCAAAAAGGTCGAACTTTTTTATTCAAAAAGCCAAGTGACCGATATTTGATATCAAAGAATACTACTTCAAACATTTTAATATGAAGAATAAGGATCTTTGGTAAAAATCTATATATACAATAAGGTTATAAGACTCGACAAAAATGACTCTACCAAAGTAGCGTAACCAGAAGGTCACGGACACCCAGGCAATACCCTATGATCCTTGAAAAAATGGTGGTAATTACTAGTTTTTTTCTTCTAATGACCGGGCTAGTGCAACCTCGGTTACGCCACTACTCTACCATCATGTTGATACTAGATTATATTTACAAGGACAACATTTATGAACATCTTTCGAATTTCGATTTTTATAAATATTTATCAATATGCGTAAATAAATTCTGTTCGTGTATTTTTCTTACGATTCTACTTAAAAAATATTCACCTATACTTGTTTTTTAAAGGTAATTTTCTATTAATACATGACCATTCGTAATGAGATAGTTGTATATTCATTTTTATCGCTTAATGATGACATGAGGAAAAAAAAAGAAAAAAGGAAAAGTATTAATGAATAGAAAGATATTGATTGGTTGTTAAAAAAAAATTTCTTTTCTCGAATAATGAATGGTTGAGACATATTATTGGAGCAAAAAAGATACTATTCTCTTTCGAAAAGAAACAACAATCATTTCAATTGTCGTTTAAACACATTCATATTCTTTATTAATATTGCTGTTTCGAGCTCTTTTTATTGATCCATATGTGTGTATAAAATTTTTTTTATGGGCATTATTATTATTTAACTTTATTTTTATCTCTTTTTTTCTCTCCTTCTTTGCGTTTTCTTTAATTGACCAAAAATAATGAATAGTTATTTTAATTTATCATTAACAAATTCTACAACTAATGATCAACAATATGAAACTGATTATACTCGTGGAAATTTTCGATTAACTAATAGAGATTCGACTCTAGCAAATACATATTCAAATTATAATAATATGATGCAAACAGGTATATCAACATCTCATCATTATGATCAACATCATACAACAAATGATTATCTTTTACCAACATCAAATGGTAACTCATCATGGAAACAAATTGAACCAATACCATCTTCATCATCAGTTAATCATATGATTCCATCATCATCATTTTCTATGTCAGTTACAAATCCAATGCTTTATTATACACATCCATGGATGAGACCAGGTAAAGATAATTTATTGACAACGTATGGAATTTTTTGACATTAATGTAACACATAAAAATGATTAATATCTATACGATAATATTGTTTAGTTTGTAATTATATTCTCTCTTTTGTTGTTTTTGTTTCTATATAGAATTTAGTTTTGAACATAAACGTACACGACAAACCTATACACGTCATCAAACACTTGAATTAGAAAAAGAATTTCATTATACAAAGTAGGAAGAAAAGAAAACTATGTATATTTCTATTTAAAATATCAATAGATATTTAACACGTCGAAGACGAATTGAAATTGCTCATAATCTTGCGTTAACAGAACGACAAATAAAGGTAATGATTTCTGTTTTTTTGTAAATTTTATATCGATTTATTTTTTTTATTTAGATTTGGTTTCAAAATCGGTAAAAAAGATATCTCATTTTTTTGTTTATTTATCTATTTTATTTTCTATTAGTCGAATGAAATGGAAAAAAGATAATAATTTCAAATCACTTAATGATCCACATGTAAAACTTGAAGCAAATGCAACAAGTTATGCAAATACAAATGATACAGCATGGTCATCAATATCAAATACTAAAAAAGAAAATAATCATTCATTTAATAACAATCGAAATGAGAAATAAAATATTAAATTCAATCGAACAATAAGAGTTAAAAAAAAGTATTTTATGGAACTATGTCACAACGTTTTTTTGTTCAAAAATCATAATTAAATTTATTGCTATTTCTTCTATCCTTGTTGAACTTCGGCATGATTTATATATATATGAAAACATTTGTTCTACTAGTCGATCATAACCTTAATGCATGGTTTTGTTGTTGTTTTTCTTTCTTTTTTCGATTTTTCTAGAATCTGTTTATTATAACAAATAAAGTTCATAATGGTTTTTTTCAATATCATTTTATTAAATATTTTTGATTACGTCAATATGTGTATAAAATGCTTAATATTCGGTATCAACTTGTTCAAGCTCTATCATCTGCTGAATATCTCCTTTTCATTTTTTCTTGAGAAAGTTCATCTGGTGATAGTATGATTCACCTATATATACTATTTTTACTGTCTTCTCATCTATTATACCGTATATATGTTGTAGACGTCATAGACATATATATTATTATGATAAAGCTTTGAATTATGCAAGTAAACAAAAATCTAGTAGAATCATCTATAAATACGGAATATATGCCAGAATAATTAAGTATATTAGAGTTGAATTTATTATGATTTATATTTATGGACAAAAATGTCCGTGTAGTGTATTAGAAGGGTTAATAGAGAGAAGTCAACGAACTTTTAGGTTTATTAACCTTATAATATTTCATTAGTATCTGATAGTGTTTCTTGAAATTTTAACCGGAGTTAAACACGAAGCTCTAAAGTAAAAAGGTGTAAAATATCCGATAAGAAGGATTAAGAAAAATTTTCTATTATCCAAAATCTGTTGAATATTTTTCTTACTGCGATGCTATTCTGTTTAAATGCATTTATTTATTCGTTTTGAATTTCGTAGTAACTTTCTAATGTTTATTTCTACAATTAACATTGATAATATTTCTGTATAATCAATGATTCCAGATGAGATTATAATCCACTAAGGCTTTGCATATTAACGATGAGATTATTTTGTAAAAAAGTAGAACAAGGCATTACGTCTAATATTAAAACTAGTTAAAGAAACCTCGAATGGAATTAGTTTAAAAATGTTTTTTTATTAATTGAATTTAAATCTGGTAGTCTCTAAATTTCACTGAAGGTTTTACAACAGAGACCTGCACAGAGTCATTTTCGTAGTCACCGTCGCAGTCAGATAAATTTTATGTTAATAATTCAACTTTAACGTCGTCTTAGCAAGCCTCACAATGCAAAATAAAATATAGAAAAAGTCGGAATCGAAAATAACTCCGACTTTTCTTTTGTGTTGGCGAGTTTCAACAAAGCATCGACCTAGCCATCAAAATACGTCATTTTGTAGAGAAAATCTCGGGCAACAAAACTATGAACTTCAATAATCTTCAACGTTAAAGTTGAATTATTCATATGAAATTTATCTGACTCCGTGCTGGTCTCTATTTTACAAATGTATTACACATTTCCACCAATCTTCAAGACTTTACGATTGAACAAATTCATTTGAGTTATATGATAAACACTCATTCAATTATCGTTTTAGAGCTGAAAATCATGCATTACTGGACTTGCAAACATTAATAAATGATGAATAGTATTAACAGTATACTTTTTAAATACTCAATACGTAGAAGTCTAGAAGTATGACGATAATGGGAACGCTGACGTAAACTAAATATACTATATCAAACGTATACGTAGACAGGGAAGTGAAATTGTATAGATCTAATTATTTTATAGTCATATGCGCTGAATAGAGACTTCATTAGTAATAGTTATATGATTAACGATACAGAATTAATTACATGTTTGCACTAGTATAATCATACTGATATCAGAATATATCTATAAAAAGAAACTATTTACATATAATAAGATAGAATTTCTATCCTACAATATATCATTAAACTAATGTAATCTATTATTATTAATGTTTTTCAAAATATAAAGTTGAAAAGAAAAACATTCACTGTGTAGTTTTAATTATCAATATTGAACTTCTTTAACAACATTTTATTGTAATAATAAGACAAATTAATATTTCTATGTCAGGAACACTACAAAAATGAGTTGTCAAATAAACAAATAATGCAATATTCAAGAAGTATAACGTACCGACTGAGTGGGACATGGTTGCATGACACAGAATTCTATTTTTTAAAGTTTTCTAACATTTTACTTTTTTGTTATAATATTCTTGTTTGAAAATACTATAACTTAAACATCTTGAATACTTCATCGTTCTCTTAGTCGACGTTCTATAATGTTCATAATTATCGATCTCAAAATAGAATATGAATTAAATCAAATCTAGATTTAATTATATATGACTATTTGTATATTAGTAATTTTTCCTAACATCTGTAAGTCTATTTATAAGTAGAATAAAAAAAGTACAATCATATATTCTTCTTTTTTTGTGTAAAAATATTGATCTTTTCCGTTAGTTAAATATCTGTTTATAACAACTTATTTTTGAGATTAGTGTCAGAAAAAAAAACAAGACACTGTTGTCTTCTGTAGTTTCATTTGTGACGTTATTTGAAAATGAGTAACTACATACATGTGATATAAATCTGAGGAATAAAGAGTCAGATTCTAATATATATACTGACTACTAAACTATTACTTTTACATTCTTCTAGATTCATATTCATTTGAGCTTCAGAGAGAAACACATACACACACAATGCAAGTAAGTTTGATTGAAGAATATTCTACCAAAATATTTCTATTTTAAAATTTTCTTTAAAGAATCTCATTATATTCTTAACTGCATTTATTTTAACTGCACATGTTCATTATATATTTGGTTTACCAATCGCCGATGTAAAAGAACATAATGAACCAGAGAAACGTTCTGATGATACATTACTGCCGAATGAAAATTTTTCATTAGTTACAAATGAGAAATTAATTAAATTAAAAGAAGTTGCAGATGCTGTTCATGATCCTAAACTACATGATCTTTATCGTGCAGTTAATCATTATGTTAAAATGGCACGTAAAAATAATGAATATGTTTTATGGAAATATGATGCTAGTCAAGAAGGCCTGGTTCTTGTCTTAAAACAAAATTTAAATGGTATTCTCTACTATGGTTAAAATAACAAAGAAAATTTTTTGTTTCTCTTTAAAAAAAAATAATATCTACTTTTGTTAATTTGAAAATGAACAAGGAAATAAAATAAAGAAAAAAACGATTTTAATCTTTGTATGAATGCAGAAGAAAAAAAAAGAACGAAATCATGAATGGCAAAATGATTCTTTATATGCGAAAGTATATAATAAACTAGAGATCAAAAAAAGAAGTGACAAATAAAGGAAACGGGTTGATGATTATGTAGAGTTATATTCTAACCAATGATAACGGTACTGTCATCTTTGAACACATATTGAGGAACTTCAAGGTTGAGTGGTGCAGGACCTTTACGTACACGTCCAGATGCATCATAATGTGAACCATGACATGGACAATAGTAACCACCGAAATCGCCAGCATTTGCAATTGGAATACAACCTTAAATGAAATTTTGGAAAATAAATATAATTAAATTGGCTTTTTTTTGTTCATACCAAGATGTGTGCAAATACCAATAACAATTAACCATTCAGATTTTTTCACACGATCAGCATCATTTTGTGGATCACGTAACTGACTTACGTTAACACCTTCTTCTCTTGCGATTTCTTCTGGTGTACGATGACGAACAAAGATGGGTTTATTACGCCATTCAAAGACAGCATTTTTTCCTTCAGGTACAGCATCGAGACTAATCTCTACTTTAGCAAGTGACATAACATCTCTAGCTGGACCAACATAAGCAACTATATCTCGAATAATATATTTTGCCATATATGCTGATGTGACAGCCATACCTTTCAAAAACAAAATATATTAAATTAGGAATTTTATTTTATAAAAAAAATTTCTATTAGTAGATTCTTTTTCACTTCGTCATATTTATGTATGATCAAGAATAATTAATAGAACAGTTACATTTGATGAAACCCAAGAAATCTGTTTTACAGATCTCACTGACGCACATTTTTTATGCTTTACAAAATCCTGAATAAATCAATGTTTCATATACAAACAGAGATTAGGATGTCTGTCTCATAATCAGAAGGTATGTGATTTGTATCTCATGAAGGATATCTTTTTCCCTTATTTTAAGGAAAGTTTCATAGAATATAAACTTACCAATAGGAGTTAAATAGGAGTAAGGTGATGTGGCATCACCAGCATCTCGATATGATTTTGATGCATCAAGACGTGCTTTACGACGATAATAATCAAAATTTGGTACTTGAATATCAGTATGCGCATGACGAATACTAAGAGGAGCTAGAAAACGAAAATACAAAATTTAATATGAATGAATAAAAATCGAAAATGTGTGACATACTGCTAAGACCAGTTGTAATCGAAGCTTTTCCACGTAATAAATGTTTATTCATAGAAAAATATGTTTTTGGTGTTGTTGTTTTCGGTACTGAAATATGTGTATGTTCATCATCATGATGATCATCTTCAACTTTCATTGGTATTGGTTTAGCAATTTGTCGAACTAGATTTGTAGTCACTTGAGTGACACGTCTGTTACACAGTTGCATGGCCATATCTGAAAAAAAGTAAAATAAATTCTTTCGCGCCTATTATTATATTTAAAAAAATATGTCTTGTCGTCTCTATCTAATTGTACATATTTGTATCGGTATATTCATCATTGGATTCGAAATTATCTATCGTTGGATAATTCAAACGTATCATATACGTATTCGTACATGTCCAAATGTATTCTATATTGAATTTAGACAATTAAATAATATTCAATCATTAAATTGGTTTGAAAATAAAATAAATAATCTTATTGAAACATTCTATTTAATCAATGATCAATGTTTAACTAAAGAATTGAATTTAAATTTCAATTCAATTTTTATTTGTCTTCGATATTTATGGTTAACTATTAGTTGTTTATATATTTGTCGTGCTTTGAAACATACCATAAAATTAAAGAAATTTATCTAGAAATAAACAAATATTGATTAGAAAAAGTTCCGTTTTTTTGTCTTTTCTACCAATATGTAAAAATCACTTCATCTTTATTTTCTACAGTCTGAATTTCTATTTTAACAGGAGTTTTTAATAGAGCAGAAAGTATTTCTTCTGTATAACCTATAAGAAAATACATTCGACGGGGATGAATTGTTCGTGTTACAAGTCCACTTAGAATAATCATATTATGTCGTCGTTTTATAATAAGTTCGGATACAAATAATGAATGCCATGTACCATAAATAAATTGACGAAGAAAAAGATCATCACTAACTGTTTCAGCTTTACGTTTTCCATCACGTAAATTTGATGTATTAAATGTATTCCATGTTTTTGTATGACCAATTAATTTGGGAAATTGACGTTGTTCATCTTTTCTAGGCAAATACATTAATGAAATAATTATTTACATTGAAAAAATAATTTCATACATGTTAAAGGATAATTTCTTTTTCTTGTATGTTTTGGTGTTGCAGCTTCTGTATTAACTTGTGTAACATTTGTTAATCTTACAAACCAACTGTAAACAATAGGACTAGTTGATATAGAACAACGTTGAAGAGAAAAAGTTTTTAGAGCATGTTGAGAAGGTTTTATAAATGTATTCATTTTACGAATGAGAAAAAAAATGCTAAAAAGTATTTCGGACAAACACAACAAATTCTGTACTTAAACACTTTAAGAAAGAGATTGGATGAAATTACCATTTATATAGAAGAAAAGACTTCGGATGTTTACGGCAAATCAAAACGACTAGTAGTGACATCTAACGATATAACATAACTTATAAGAACTTATAGCATTCTATAATCCATTTGTTGATCTTCAAATATTCCCTAACTTTTTATTAGAATTATGCTTGATCTTGAATTGTGAAATTCGTTCATTAATAGACTAAAAGAAGTAGGATTGAAAACAAATCTATGGTCTTGCTTCAATGTGGCAACAATTAAATTCCTACGACAGTTGATGATTATAAATAGTAGCTTCTGAATCTTTCCTCTGCAGTTTTATGAACAATTAAATATCTGTAAGATTATAAGAGAAGTCAATCTTGACTAACGTAGTTTTATAGATGGTTTTTAAGATACAAATCATTTTTCTACATTGTTCAATTCGTTGATAAACAAAATAATTCTCCTAAATTCGATATTTATAGATCTTAGGATATACAATATGTTTGACATGGTTGTCGATCAATAAAAAGATTAAATACATTAATTAAAAAATATATAGGTATAGTTCCTAATAGTAAACCTAGTTGTACAGTTGCACCATAATAGAACATGCCTTTTTCATCTATCCATTCACTTTTAATGCGATTACCAATTGCAATTCGTAAAATACCGCTGATAAATGACATGATAAACCATATGGTAATAATCATCAGAGCACCTTGTGTTGTATCTGCTAACCATGGACATGGACTTTGTTTTGCAATAATAAATATCAAAGCAGAAAGAAATGCATTAAATATCGATTGAAATATAATCATATTTGTCGATACAGATTTCCAAAAGAGACTTAATATTAATGAAAGTGGATAAGCAATTGGGATGGTAACACTCCAATAATAGAAAGCTGTCTGACCAAAAGGTAACAAAGCATAGGTACTCAGCGATGGTAAACATCCATATGCTATTGTTGAATTGATTGTATTTATAACTAATAATAGTCTAAACACACGTTTTGACATTGTTTTCGTAGATTTTGATGATGTTTGTGATTTTACAATAGTGACCATAGGTTCACTCTCTTCATGAACAATATCTGTATTGGATTTAATTTTCTTACGTTCATCCTACAATATAAAATGATAAAGAACTAAATAGAAATTCACCAATACTTATGAACTGCTTACCACATCTGCAGCATCAGCTAATGTGACTATATTTGTCCATCTAAGTAAAATAAAGGCAATAAGCGATGCAACAATGATACCAGCAATACAAAACATGAAAATTCTAACACTGAAACGTGGTTGAGTATAAGTAGGTTCGAAAATAGTACTGTTGCCCGTCTGTATACATATTGTTTCACCTGCTACACCTTGAGCAAGTATTAATATGGTAGGAATTGCTGATGTAAGTGCTTCACCTAAGAAGGCAGCTTGTAAATATTGTGCACGAAAACGTTTCATATAATCGAAAAAAACAAGTGATGATGTACAGTCGAGCATTGATAAAATGAAAATACAACTCAATAGCCATATACTTCGTTCACGACCAAATATAAATATTGTCCTTTGCCAAAATAGAGCAAGTACAAAACAAGCAATTACTCCAACAATAATAATAAGATAAATGTAAGGAATTTCAGAGAATTTTTTTCCTTGCCACCAACGTAATATTACAACAATTGCAGGAACAATATTAGCTGCACAAATACAAATTGCTGCTATGGATGGTAATGTCCATCCTTCTGGAGTATGCGGAATAATAAGAGGTATTTCAACAAATAATCCTTGTAAATCGATCCAAGCACTTAAATTCATAATAGCAATTAATACAAAACATGCAGTTTGAGCCCATCGCACAGATGTAAATCTATAGATAATAATATTTTTTAAATTTTATTAATTAACTGATTCTAAAATTAGCTATAGGAAGTAAAGTAAGTGACGACACTATTCCAAAAAAAAAGAAGTATTTTCTAGTACTTACTCTTTTACGGGTCCAATAGTATTTCGGTAAATTTTATTTTCTGCATCATTTGCATTAATTTCTGTATTTGAAACCATAAAATAATATTCTCTTAACTACAGTTAGAGAAGTACTTTGAAATAACTATTTGTTACTCTTCTTTTTTTTTATTCTGTAGTATATTATATAAAACACGTGATATGAAAATTGTTGTGAGTAAATAATACAACCAATAAGAACGGCTACTATGTCAACCACAGTTAAAATCTATTGTATGGTGTGAGTTATATTTAAATAGAAGTGGCTATGTGCACTCGAATGTACATAGTCAAGTGGATATGTGCATTCGAGTGTACAAAGTCAAGTGGCTATACGCACTCGGGTGCACACAATCACCGGACTATGTGCGGGTGTGGGTATGGATGTAAGTAAGAAACAAGAGTAACATGTCACCCATACTACACCGATATTCACAATTTTTGCTAAATATTTTATTCTGACTATGTGAGTGCACATAGTCACTTCCATAATTAATTCAGTTTAATATTTAAAAAGTATTTACTTTTTAGTTCACAGAGATTGATACTTTCAATTTCTGAATATACAATATTTATTTATATGATCGCAGTTAGTCAAGGGATAATTATACGTGTAAAAATAATAAATATTATGACAAATATTTACAAAAAAAGAAGCGTAAACCCAATATATCTAAATAGAATTAACTAGTATTTATTATTGCTGTGATTAAAAGTATTACTGAATAAACTTATTGTCTATCTGAACCTTTACTTTAATCATATATGATAATTTATCAAAGTATAAAAAACTACATACAAAATCGTAGACGATAGTATTCACAAAGATATAGTTGCTGTAATTTGTTTTTTACAATTGACAAGAAAATTACTCATCGTCATGCGTCATATCATATTCAGCTTTATCAAATATTCTAAAGAATACTTATGATAATATTTACGTGTACGATTGAGTCAGTATACAAATAAGATAGATAACAATTTTTAGAATAAGTATAAAAAGTTGAATTAATAATTAGTTTTATATTCATTTTCTTCGAATTAATTATTTGTTTATATCACTTAAGAATTAATATGGCTGGTGGTTTAGCTGAACTTATTTTCCAAGTTGGTTTATTGGCAGTTCAAGGAGCATATGTTGCGATGGAAGTCAATCACACACTCAAATCATCAGAACAAAAACGATTACGTCATGCTTTGGCTAAGAAATCACTCGGTCGATCATCATTAAATAGTCAGTCGTCACGAGCTGTACTTATTACATCAAGTTCAACAAATTTTGGACATGATTGTGAACGTATTGTAAATATAGCATTCCAAACTAGTCAAACATTTCCTACGATGATGAGTAACTGTTCTGATATCGATCAATATCTTCGTAAAGAACTTGCAAAACGATATTCTAATGAATATTTCCATATTATTATTGGTGACTATAATGAATTCGGATTTTCTGTTGATGGTGGTGAACATTTTGTTGAAATCGAATATGATCAATATAAAGTATTAATCTTTTCAACTAAGCGAAATCCATATACGAAATTAGATACACATGATGCTAATAGTCAGATGGCACTTGAATGGAACAAGAAATACTAGACTGATTGTTTTTTGTAACATATGTAACATTTATATCAATAAAATATTTATTATTAATAATATGTTGTTGAACCATATCAAAGATTGTATATTTCGCAAAAATTCATGTCATATAATGACTAAGTTTGATAAATATGATACTCATGTGATACAAGATAGAATTGTTATCAGAATATGTGTCACTCACATAATAATAAGATAACAGCAGCTAAATTATATATAAACGAAGAAATACTCATTTCTTGTCTTTCAAACAACTAATAATATTTATGGATCAAGTAATTGGCGAACTATTCGGTAGAGCTATTGTTGAAGTTGTTGCTTTAGGTGTTGGAGCAGCAGTAAAATCCTATAAAGGTAATAATGGTTCTAACAATTCAAATTCCACTACTCAACATCAAACCAAAATATTCACATCACCACCATCTATTAAGCATGAACGTGCAGTACTTACATCTTCAAGTACAATTACTTTTGGTAATGATTGTGAACGTCTTGTTAATATAGCATTTCGAACAAGTCAAACATTTCCTTCTATGATGGGTACATATGCTGATGTTAGTAAATATTTACGTGAAGAACTTTCTAAACAACATCCAGATGAATATTTTCATATTATTATTGGTAAAAATCATGAATTTGGTTATTCTATTGATGATGGTCATTATTTCGCTGAGATTCAACAAGATCGATATCGAGTATTAATCTTTTCAACTAAGCAAAATTCGCATATAAAATCAGATATACATGATGCCGATAGTCACATGTCATTTATATGGAATTAATCTTTCAGTTCTATGACAAAATAAATAATTTATAAACGAATATTTACCTAATAGATTATGCTCACGTTGTGTATCTGAAGTCTGATGTAACAAAAATATCATCTCAGTTTGAAAAATAATATAACATATTGATACAGATACATTTCTTTGGATTTGAAAAATATTTTGATCATAAGTTCAAAACTGAAATTTAAAAAAACTAGAAGATCTCTATGAACCATCGTGAGGATGTGGATACGGATATAACATTGATCTCATCAAGTACACCAACACCCTGTTAATAAATTTATTTTATAATACTAAAGTATAATAAGCAGTATAAACTTAATTGAAAACTTTCTCTTAATCAATTTCTATTTAAGTAATGGCTTAAAAATTTGAGTGTGAACAAGAGTGTATATATATTCTTTACTTATATCAGCACCCATACCCTCAAGATGGATGGATACGGATGCTTCTCCTTTATCACGCCTCATTCACACACCTACGATCAACCACACCCTTGTCATCCTATTTCTCTTTGGAAGAATAAAGATAAAAAAATAGTCATTATGCATTTTATATTTTCAACAAATTTGCAAAAGTAGTGTTCGTAAGTTTTTTACGTCCTGTTTCTTCACATTTTTGTTATGATGTTAAAATAAATCATCATATCGAACAAATTTTGTAGAGACACAATAAATTACGCATCAATAAAATATTTATTTTGATTACACATGTCAATGAAACAAGAGAAAGAAAGAAAGAAAAATATATGGTTATAAAAAGATATTATTGAGGAATACAAATACGTATTCAAGGTATACTATCGTTTTGAATATAATGATGATTAATCAAAATATATTTTGTTATTTTGCCAGGCACACCCGTGATATTATTTTCAAAATAATATTATATATACACAAATTATATTACATGTCAATCAAAGCTTCTTTGATTTCGTTGTGCGCAAATATAAAATGACTTTATGATCAAAAAAACAAAAATATCAATCGTAAAGTAGATTAAGAATAACGCACTTCTATTAAATTCTATTTGGTCGTAATATTATTTGAAAGTTAGAACTAAAATGAGAAATGATTTATTTGTGAATCAACGTTTGATTAAAAAAAAGCAGAAATTTTTCTCATATTTATAAAACATGAAGATCAACTGATTATTGACTATTTCAAAATATTACAATTAAAATAAATACCTGAGAGTAGTATTGAATCAATCGATCTTTGACACTCGTAAGCCCGACGAAAATTTTTTTTAATATATGCCTAAAATTTAACTTAACTTTATATGAATTTTGGCAAAAGTGTTTTTTCTGAATAATTTTCTCTACCATCAATATATATAAAATGCTTACTTTTTCATATATTACTGGAATGAAATTAATTAAAAACTAATCAACAAATATCTGTCGAACTATATGAGAAAAAAAAAGAAACATGCCGCTTCACTCGCAATCAAATATCAACCTATAGATTTGATTGAAATCTATCAGATAATAATAAAATATCCAGGGCGAAAAAAATAAGCAAATGCGTCTAGTCGTGAGAAAATTGAATATAGTGTTATATTTTATAAGATGTAGCATCGATCGACTGAGTTTTTTGTGCTGATTTCTAATAAAAAAGTCAGATTATTCATGAGAAAATCAATAAAGTGTTTTGCCCATAAAATTTGATTGATATAATAGAAAGTACTGTATTGTCTCTGTGCAGCATAGAGAAAAGAAGGATATCATAATCAGACTAATAGAAAGTTATTGTTATGTATTAATGACCTCGTCTCCTTCATCAAAACGGTGCAATTTTCTCTATTTATTCAAGATCTTAGAAAATACCACAATATATTATTTTCTTCGTTCTGACAAATTTTTCTAGCATTTGAAAAATGTTGGTTTTTATATTTTAGGGTTTTTTTTGTATTAATCCATCTATGAAAATATATTTAATTACGCATCTGATAGAATGCATCATTGGCTGAATTAATCACCATGTTGTTTTGAGATAGATGCGCAGTAATACAATAGCAAAAAATAAAAAATATCTCGCTCTTATTTTTTGTTTGGTCATCACCGTATATGTAAAACTTGAATATAATTTATTTTCGGATGACGTCTCAAAGACGTAGTATGACTCGACAAAAAAATACGTAATTGATTTTGCCGTTCGTTATTTGCGCATTCATGCTTCGATGATCTTCATATTCCGTAATATATAAATAATCTATTTCAACGTACAAAATCGGTCTCATTGCACAGAAAGTTTGCACTTGAAAATCGTACAAGACAAAGGTAAGTTTGACCTTTGAATAATAATATATCATGTAAAAGAAATAATCAATACTGTTTATATCACATTGAGATTATAAAATTTAATTGAAGGGAGTTATACATGTCAGAGTAGGAAAGATATAGGAGAAAGTAGAAAAATTTACTTTTTTCATTGTTTCGTTTATATTTCTATGTTTTTTTTGCGCAAATAAACATTCCTTGATATCTTATGTTACATCTAATTTTAGGATGTCACCACTTCCAGACATTGAAATCAAATACACAGAAATTTTTATTAACAACGAATGGCACAAGGCAGATAAAGGAAAAACATTTCCAGTTATCAATCCAAGTACGGGTGAAGTGATTGCTAACGTCGAAGAAGCCACTCGAGTAAGATTATGTACCAAATCATGTTGTTATACTATCATCGATTTTGTTTTTTTTCACATTGTAGACGGATGTTGACAAAGCTGTTGAAGCCGCTCGAAAAGCATTTCATGTCGATTCACCATGGCGTACAATGCAACCGGCTGATCGTGGTGCTTTAATGCGCAAATTTGCTGAGTTACTCCGACGAGATATCAAATATTTAGCGGTAAGATTTTCTTGTATAGTTCTTCACCAAATAAAATGAATTGATTGGTAGCAATTGGAAACTCTCAACAACGGAAAACCAGTCCATGATAGTATGGGTGATATTGGTCTTTCAGCTAATTGTATCGACTACTGTATGTAGAATTTGATAATCTCATTTTGTTGTAACTAATGTTTTTTTTTGAATATGATAGATGCAGGATGGGTAGACAAAATCACCGGGGAAACAATCCCAGCAGGAAACGGTCACTTTCTGTATACTGAACACGAACCAGTTGGTATCTGTGGACAGATTATTCCATGGTTGGTTGAACTTATTTTTTTTATTTTTCACATATTAAACTTATATTTCACTTTTTTTTTAGGAATTTTCCGGTTTGTTTCTTCTATTCGTATTGTAGCAATTCAGCATATAAAACAGTTATCTTTAGATTCTTATGCTTGCGTGGAAACTTGGTCCGGCTCTTGCTTGTGGTAAGTCAATTTTTGTCAGTATGAATTGAGTTAGTATCTTATTATAATAAATAGGTAATACCGTTATATTGAAACCAGCTGAACAGACACCACTTAGTGCTCTCTATTGTGCTGCTCTGATCAAAGAGGTATTATTCGATTTGTTTTAGTTAAAAGTATTTATTGATTTGTTTCTAAATTATCTAGGCTGGATTTCCACCAGGTGTTGTCAATATTGTACCAGGTAACTAATGTGATCTAAATCAGTATCATCTCACATTAATGATTCTAGGCGATGGACCTGAATGTGGTAATGCAATTGTCGTCCACCCACACGTCGATAAACTAGCTTTTACTGGTTCATCAGAAGTAAGATCATTCATAGTCAATATCAAATGTAGATAGTTTTGTTCTAGATTGGTAGACTCATTCAAGAAACTGCAGCAAAACACCATCACTATCGAGTCTCACTCGAACTTGGTAAGTTACGAATATCATTTCAGCGCAAAAGTATCTCTTTTATTTTAATTCAGGTGGCAAGTCTGCGTTGATTATTTGTGAAGATGCCGATCGTAAGTGTTTACGAAATGAGATGAAAATTAATTCTATGGTGTTTGTTTTTTGATAGTTGACTATGCTGCCAAGGTTGCTCATCAAGCACTCTACTTCAACGCAGCACAGTGTTGTTGCGCTGGTTCACGCACATACGTTCATGCTAAAATTTACGACGAATTTGTAGCTAAATGTGTTGAACTTGCTAACAAACGTGTAGTCGGCGATCCATACGATCGAAATACAGAACAAGGCCCCCAAGTAAATAAAATGACAATTGTGTACATTACTTTGTATTGATGTTTTGTATTATCTAGGTTAGCGAAGAACAATTTAACAAGATTCTCGGTTATATTGAAGCTGGCAATAAAGAAGGTGCCAAACTTGAATGTGGTGGAAAGAGAGCTTGTGACAAGGGCTATTTTATTCAACCGACAGTATTTAGTGGTGTGAAAGACGATATGAAGATTGCTCGTGAAGAGGTTTGGTTCTTTTCTTTTCTTTTCTTTTCTTTTCTTTTCTTTTCTTTTCTTTTCTTTTCTTTTCTTTTCTTTTCTTTTCTTTTCTTT